TTCTTTCAAATTTCTTCCAAACTTTCCTTTGGAATAATAAAGCAATATTTTGCAAATATTAATTTGGAATTTTCTACAAATTTATAAGTTCTTCAAACAATTTTTCTCATTAAAATATTTCTATCATAAATTTTGAATAAAATTATGTGAGCTTTCTTAATGACTCATTTCCCTTGGAAATACAGTATTTTCTTATATCCTGCTATACTCAGGCTCTTGTAACTTTTTGAAAAGCAAAGTGCAATCATTTTTGCCATGATTATCATTAGTTGGACTTGCTTATGTCTTTCTAACATCCTCATATTTTCATAATAATGATTAAGCACAGAAAAACACCAGCAACTATAAAAGAAGAAAAAGAAAGCTAATGATTAAAGAAGATACTTGAGATTTTCTTGAAAAGTACCTAATGAAATTTTTAGAGGCTGGAATCCAACCTATGCAAAGATCAGATTTGATAACAGCAGTACAAGTGTATAACTTTCACCTCAGGTTCAGTTCATTTCTGAAACCAGCTACAAGGATGCTGGGATTCACGTTAATAACTTTTTAAGAATAGCTGCCTAATTTAAAAGGATTAGCATACATGCTAAACACTGTGCTTATGAATAATGATGCTTTAATTATTGGCTAATACCAAGTCCACTTCTGAAAAGCTTAGTATTTCACTAGATGTAGTCTCCATTAAGTTGGCAATATAATGCAATGATAGCAGCCACCAGTCATTCATTGAGCATTCATAAATCCAAGGCATGTGTTGTGCTACAAACACAGTATCTAACTCACCAACAACATTTTAAGGTCGGAACTATCACCACCCACTATTAAAGATATTAAAGAGACTGTATCCAGCCAGCCTCCAGAGGATTTAAGATTTTAACCCAAATAGTCTCACTTGAGTCCCCCATCACCACCCCATTTTTACTTCTCAGCCTTGTTATGCTCTTCTTAGGCTGTAAAAGGCATCTCTTTGGAACTTCAAACATATTTCTCTACCAAATGAGAGAGTAAATGGCTGGATTCTCAGTCTTATTCACAAAACCCTCTTTTGCCCATATTGTTCCTGAAAAATATATAATATTACAGAACCTATGACTCATAAACCCTCATAACTATGATTTTTCTTTATTCACTTTCTAACATTTCTACTGGTCTATTCAATTGCTATGATGTTTGACAAATGAACAGCAACTATGAAATTCTATGTTGGCAATATGAAAATAACTATATTTAGCAGCATATTCTCAAAGTACACAAACAATAAACACATTCTATAAACTAGAAATAATGCGTGTCCCAAATTACCATTTATATTTATTTCCTATTTATAAACTACCTCTCTGAAAGTATAAAAATAAAAATATGAATGATACTTACCCCACTAGACCTATATCAGCTATAAGTTTTAGATCAAGGTGAATTACTCGTTTCTGGCCTTTCAGTGGTAAGAAATTTGTAAGTAATTTACCACCAAGACCTCCTTCAGCTACCAAAATTCTGTCTTTCTCTTTATTGAGTTCTCCTTAAAAAAGAAAGAGAGAGAGATACTTTGAGCAAAGATTAATAAGCGGAGCTAATCACTAATGACATTTTTCTTTGAGAAACAGATGACAGGAAATTCCAATTTACAATTCTAAAGGGCAAAACAATAGGATCAAGTTTCTATCAAAAGTCTGACCCTGGAAAAGCACTTTTGCAATGCTTGAAAAAAGGCTAGTTACATGTTTTAAAACTGAGTAAATACTCTTCTATCTTTAAAATAATTTTAAATCTAGAAGCTAATTCTGAATGACTTTTATATGAACATTTTAAAAGCTCTTGTAAACTAGCAGCTAAAATACTTAATGTTTAAAAAAAAATCCTGAAACCCAAGAGGTGCTACTCCTCACAGCTCTCAAACAATTTCAGAAAATGTGCACATTTTTCACAACCTTAGAATCCACAGTACACTTACCTATAATTTTACCATTTTCATCAGTTACTGAAATACCAACAGGTACCGGAATTTCACAGTCTTTTCCTTTGCAGCCTTTTAGTGCACTAACTCTATGAAAAAAATAAACATAAATAAGACCTGTTAGATTTAATGGTTTATGTTTCAAGCAAATACAATGATATACAAAAAAGACTAGCAATCAATTCTTCTAATGTAGATATTAAATGCCCAAATAATAAAGAAAAAAATAAACTTATCCCTATTTATTTATTGCATTTTAGACTACTGTGTCCCAATAAAAATAATAGTAAGTAATGATTTAAGTTATCACCAAAAGTCATTTTAACTCACAATGAACTAAAATATTGTATATCTGAAATGAAGAGATCATTGCAATAAAAATAAACCAGAAAAAATGGCAAATCCACTGAATAACAAAGCTTTTAAAAAACTGACCTCAAATGAGAGTACTTTAAACAGACATTGGGAGAAGAAAAGGATAAAAAGTTTAAAAGCTTCAAAACATCCCGTAGTACCTACCTTCTATCTTTACTAGAATTGAGATAAATACAGTAGATTTTCCCTTAGTTACAAATCCAGGATATTATTTACTTCAAATTACCAATTACATTTTCATCTTTTAACATTTTTTTTATCTCTTGGAGGAATTAATTTCATAAAATCAAAGTCATTCAGTAAATACTTACCGACTGTTTGCTCCTTCTCCAGCCACAAACCGTTTCTGAGGATATCTGTCTTTAAGTTGTTTTAAAGTCATTTTGTTCTGGGCTACAACCCAGACATCACCACCTTTTCCACCTTCTCCACCTAAGCGAGGGTAACCCATTCCACCACTTCCTCCCCTGGTGAAGAGTCTTAGGTTATCGATGAAGTTTCCATACTTAAAAAAGAGAAAGAGAGGAAGAAAACATCTATATACCAAATGTGCTTACCAATTTAGAGAATTTCTTTCTAGTTCTTTGTTGCCACCAAAACTCCTAAAGAAAAAAAAGGCTTTCTTTATGCCAAATTTGCTGTACCTTGTTAGTTTACCTCCTGTCTGATCTTCCTTTTCCATTAGATTAACTCTATTAAGACCCTGTTTTTTATTATCAATAGTTATCCTTCCAATCCTGAAGGTCTCTGACATTGGCCCATTTTTCAGTCTAGACTTTCTCCCCTATGTGATCTCAGACTGTACCAGTAACTACTGCATAGGTGAGGTATTTTCTATGCCCAGCTAGAACACAGGACATCTCCACCAGATGTAAGTGTCATAGTCTAAAGTAACTGAGAACAAGATCTGGATTTGTATTTAACTTATATTTGAAACCCCTCAAATATGTAACTTGTTCTCAGGTATTGAAAGGATAATAGTCACCTCAATACACAGCAGTGTAACAAAACCAAACTTCTCCCTAGGTAAATTCTGTTCCTCCAATGTTCTCCCAAATAATAAAACTATAGTTTATCTATTCATTGAGACTACATATGAGGTTCTCTGAGTATACCTGCTTCTTTTCCTGAAGCCCTACTATCTTTCCTTTTTATCGCAACCAACTCTAGTATCCTGACCATTACTTTAGCTTCTAACTGGTCTTTCAGTGTCTAGTCATTTCTTCTACACATTGTCTCACTGCCTGAGCTATTTTTCTGAAAACGGATCTGATCTTTAACCGTACTTCTCCCTTACTCAAAAACCATTTGGTTTTTTATTTTTTGATGTTTATGAAATAAAGTCTAATATTCTCAGTACTATAGTCAAAGCTATTAACCTACCCTTCCAATTTCATTTTCATTCATTCAACCCCTCCAGTATCTTCTTCCTTTCTTTGCTCTTTACTACATGATATACTGTCACTTCTCCATGGCATTGTGCTCATGCTTTTCATCTACTTACGATGTCATTTGTTCTTTTCTATCATAAACCCATCTGAATATCATATTTCAAACATCTCTCTTAATTCCTGTAATCAGCATTTACCACTAACTTTGCTGGGCTTTCAGCAAATTCATTATTGCTTTTATACCTTTACAAGTCATATACTGCATTTGGGGTTTATTTCTTTTTCCCTCACCAAATCAAGAACTTCTTGGAGGTAAAGATCCTATGTCTTAACCTCCTGGGCTAACCTTCACATCTTCAGCCATTTAGGATAGTTTTAAGTATCAAAAACATCTGGGAACTTTTTTCAATACACTCCACTGACCACTGTGATTAAACTCAGGAGGAAGGGATGACGATAGGTTAAGCCAGCACATTTATCAAAAGCTCCTTTGTTGATTCTGATAATCTGAGTCTAGATCCGAGATTGTAGTAGATGGTTGCACCCCAAAGATTCGAAGTGCAGGTTTTCATTTGAGTATGCAAATACAGTTATGAAACAGTATTGTTAAGAGTGGAAGAAATAAATAAAAGATGAACTTAAAGGCTAGCTGGGTATTTTCCTATGGGGATGAAGAACTTTGGCTTTGGTTCAGTAAGGCTAGATCAGAAACGCTTCACAGATAAGTGAAGAGATAGATTCCCCAGGCAAACATGTTTGGAAGTGACTGTTACAGCAGTAAAGTTATACAAGTAGCCAGACCTTAATAACATATTCACAAAATGCAGCAGTTTCTTTTTTTGGTTTAAGGATTAGTTACCATACATGCCCAAGTTCTGTTCTTTACAAGTCCCTTTTCTTTTGACCACTGATTTTCTGTAAAACAGAGGGTTGAATAAAGTATAACTTCACTCAGATATTACTAACCATGCCTTTTCTCCGATAAAAAGAAAACTCCTGTTTTTAAAGCTCCTTTCAATTCGTGACACATTTTTTACTGCTCCAGATTTATCAGACTCAGAGATTTAGAACCCAAACTTAAAAGGAATATCCCAATCTCGTCCTTTGCAATAAGGTAATGACCCAACTATGATGCCTGCAGGTTTCAAAAACCATTGCTAGTAAGGATCTTAAAGAGGTTTTTAAATCTGAAAAAAAATGTAAGATTTTTTACAAAAACGATTTTAAAACCTGCACTGCCAAAAAGCTGACCTAGTTTTTTGCAAGAAGGCAAGTCACCGATTTTCGTTTACTGATGAAAAGTCGTCTTTAAAACGCTTTTAAAATAACAATACACTCAAAAGAAAAAATATGTTAGAACAGGTTACGGATATTACTACTTAGAAGAAAGAAAATGCAAAAAAAAAATGGGGGGAGAGGGGAATACACTATTTGAGCCAAAAGAAAAAGTCAAAACTACACTCCACGTATACCACATTGTGTGCCTAAACGGCGGGCAGGTATCCCAGCTCCTAATCCCACGTGCAAACAATTCCATTGAAAACAATCAAACCCTATTCCCAAACAACCGTCTTAACCATGCTGGGTAGACACTGCTCACAGGACAAGCCTGACTCCTGGACGGGCTGAAAGGAGAGGACTATGGTAGAAAAAAAGAGCAAGAACGAGGCCTCCAGGAAGAAAAAGTGGTGAGGAAGAGAAGCGAGGGAGAACGAGAGCCCTCAGGTGGGGCTAGAAGTACCAAGGGTCCCGCATCAGGGAAAAGGGCACAAGTCACGGACCTTTCTCAACAATAAGCAACTGCTGCGGACCATGACTGCGGTGGAGAAGCATCCCTTCCCGCGGAAGCCGTACGCACTGAATTACGGCGCGACCTTTTTACGTCACCGCCGGCTACAATCGCTATTTTACCTCCGCACGCTGCCACGTGGACAGCCGCAGGCGCCGTAACGTGCACGCGCACAGAAACCTGCGCATGCGCTGTGCCGTGCCGCCTACGGTGAGGTGGAAAACTGCGTCAGCTGAGAGGAAAGCCGCGCTTAACACTGAGATGTGGAGAAGCAGCGTGACGAGAGACAGGCGAGTACGGAGTGGTGCCTCAGGAATTGATATTTTGAATGGGACGGCACTGGACAGTGGGCTGTCTTCGAGGAATTTTTGTGCTAATTGAGGAAAGCACAAAGTACTTCAGTCTTTACTCTCGGCGAAGTGGAATGGGTAAAAACAAAACAAAAAAGCACTTCACATAGACAATAAAACCACATGCATAAAAAACATGGAAACTCACCTGGGAAAGAAGAGTCAGGAAAAGCTGTTAAGTCATTGACCAGCTGAGTAATCTCTAGCAAAAGCTTACAGGAGACAATTTAAAACCTGGGACCCAATGTCAGAATCTGAGATATGTAAGAATTTCTTTGCGTTCTGTGGGGAAGGGAACTTGAAGCTTGTCAGAACAGTTTCTCGGAGTCGGGTAGATAAAGCTCACTATCCATCTCTCACTTGAAGCGCGCCTTTGTGAGACTTAGACTACTTTACTTTTCCTCGACCTGGGTAGGACCAGCAGATGGGCTGGATCCCAGTCCGCCCCCCTGCCTCCCTCTCCCCACGCCCTCATGTGGTGAACTGAGGTCCACAGCCCTGCTAGGCAGCCCTGCGCTCCACTGCCAGCGTAGTCATTTTTCTTGACTCAAAACTATTAACTTCCAGAATCCTTTTCACATTTCCACCCTTCACTTATGATAGTGATTGGAAATACACGCTGTAAAAACGCCCTCTCGATTCCTTTCCTGCTACTGAAACTCCCTCTTCCCCGCCAGTCAATAAAGCTATAATTGTCATTTAACTTTTAGCGATTAAAGAAAAAGGAAATTGGGTTGTTACTATGTAGGTGTTTAGTTTAATCTTGATAACATTTCCTGCCATTTGGATTATTCTTTTTACTAGGTCTTACGATGTCAGAATTATATTGAGCCCAATCTATTTATTTATTTTCTAAGGTTTATTTATTTTTAGTGAACACAAGCCCAAATTGTTTTCTTTCTCACAACATTTACTTGAGAAAATGATACCAGCGAATAAAAATAAATGAGAAATTTATATAAAAACATCTCAGAATACTGAGGAACACTGTGAACTATAAACAAAGGAGAAAACCTAATATTTTTCTTGAACAAAACATGATCGGAGCCTGAAATATTTATTACAGCTCTGGTTACCAGATAGGAAAAGAAACATGAAATGTAAATTATCCACTTTTAATGTGTGGCTAAAATGAATATGAGGTGAAGTGATACAAGGCATCCAGTTGGCAGAAGTTACTATTGGCAGAAAATATTACTTCTACCATTGAGAGGACAAAATGCCTTCCCCATGGTTGCTCAGAAGATTGAAGTATACGCAAACCATTAAACTCAGTGACACTAGAAAATTTTGCATAATATGCATGTTAGCCTCAAGCCAATCGTATAACTTACAATTTGATTTAATAAATGTTATAAGCTAGAGTTATTCTAATAAAAAGTTAATAAACATTTTATTTTGGAATAATTTACATTTACTGGGAACTTAACAAAGCTAGCCCAAAGAGTTCCTATATACCCTTTGCTCAGCCTGTCCTAAAGTTAACATCTTGTATAACTGTCGGAACTAAGAAATTAATGTTGGTACAATACTATTAACCAAAATATAGACCTTATTTGATCTTACTAATTTTTCGACTATGACTTTCCTGTGTTCCAGGATCCAATCCTGGACACTACATTATATTTAATCTAATAAACATTTTAGTGCCTTTATTACTTTAAGCATAAAATGAACAAATATAATTAAGAAAGCTAGCATTTTATAATGCTATTTTCTAATCATCCCACTTCTCTCTGTTAATATAGTTACTCAAGAGGTAATTTACCTCAGTATTTACTGTGATACTAACTTTCTGGTACTCTTCAGCATTTATAATTTTCGTTATGAATAATACAGGTTAGCAGGAAGTAATCATTAAATTGGATTTACTAATACTTATTAACAAAATGCTGCTGCTCTGCATTTCCTCTTCCAGAGCCACCCCAACGATGAAATGTGGAAATAATTGTCTGTTTTTAGTGGTCTTAACCTCCCTTTTCTGCATTCCCCTACCCTCTATTTTATAATTACTTCTTTCTACCGGTACTAAGTACCCTTCTGCTTTCTCTCAGTGCCTGTCAAAACTTGGATCTCAGGCATGCATTTGATACCTGCATGTTACAAGCTAGCATGATTTTAAGTCAGTATGTTAATTCTCTTAGGGCATTTACTTTTAGTTTTTATCTCTAATTGTGGAATGAATAAAATGCCCTCACTTCTACTGAAAAAATTTCAAGCTTTAGCATAGGAGATCCTTCAATGGGGGAAATGTATGAAAGCAGAGAAGGCTCCTTGGTATCCTTTGTATAAGAAAAGGTAGCCGCTTACATTGTTTCTATAAAATTCATTTTAACTTTAATTATTTTATTAATTCTATAACCCAACTTATCTGGTTCCACCAAATTTTGTATACAAGGAAAATAATATAGCCCGAAGTTTTTGTTCACTGGAGTCCTTTATCCATAGGATCTCCAGAGGTGTTTTTTCCCCCATAAACATACAAATTTGATCATATCACCAAATTCAGCATCCCCTTATGGTCTCAGCATGACTGCTATATCCATGTTCCAGATGGGAACATTTATAAAATTGCTTTCTTGGAAGTTCCATCTATGTATCATTGCTGCCTTTATTTAGAAAAGATCTTTTTTTTTCCTTTAAAATGGATACCTTGCCATCTCCAACTATTTAGATGTCTACATCTTGTCCTTTTCTGTATTTCCTAAGAGGTCCTTGGACTCATGACATACTCTCTAAATATTTCTTAGTTAATTGATTTATTTTTTAGGAATGACAATAGCTAGAGTGCTAATTCCTATGACATACGAATTGCCTGAAATGGGGCATAGCGTTATTCTCATGCTTTAGTCTTATAATCCCCAAAAGTAACATCAAATATTCTTTTAGTTCAAAGTATTGTTACTCTGAGACCATTATAAATTAAGGTCTTACACTCTACAACAAAATCAAATTCTCTTAGGTGATAAAGGTAAATGGATTGAAAAAATGAAAGCTATATACCAATTAAGCTCTTCATCTCTCTAAATTAAAATGTAGCATTGTCAAAGTAAGGACATCAAGCCATGTAATTATTGTTCCTAAATAAGACCTATATAAAGAAAAAAAAAGTGGACTTATTGCCTTTCTTCCTAAGGATTCTTGGTTTCTTCATCAATTCATTCTTAAAACAATTAGAGTTCCTAATTTGTCCCACACACTCAGCTATGTGCTAGAACATTGCCATGGTTACTGGAATAACTAAACAAGAGTAAATAAACAAAGTAGTTGTGTTAGCAAAAGAAAGAAGCAAATTTTAATATTTCTGATACTTGAATTCATAGTGAGTGGAAAAAAACTTATTGAATATGATTTTCCTTTGCTCTTAATACACCCTGTTTTTAATTTGAAGGATAGCATTGAAAGTTATTTTCTTAGAAATATATATATATATAATATAAATAAATAGAATTAGTTGAATCATGTTTCATGACCCCCATTGTCAACTATTTCTACTAGAGGAAGAAAGGTGTTTTAAGAGGCTTCTACTACATTGAGTCATTGATTGCTCTATTTTTTATACTTTCTTTTAATCATATACAGGTATAAGAATGGCAGTGGAGTAATCAGGAGGGCCTTTGATAATGATGCTTCCTGTTTGTCCAAAACAAGAGTACTCATGCAGCAGGAAAGTTGGTAAAGTATTCAGAATTCATATTTACCTAAACCATTTTCTTTGTTACTTAGTATTACTGATATTTCATTAAGCAGTAACCACTTACTAAGAAATAGAATTCTTAGATAATTTGAAGAATAATTTAAAATAAGGAAATGAATGTTTTTATTAATGTTTTCATGTATTTTTCTAAGTCTTTATTCCTACCACATTGTAAGCTAATCAGCTAAAATATTCTCCTCTAGAAAAAGGTATTGTAAGAATATGTAAATCATTCTCCTAAGCATGTTTGTTGGACTATCACTCCATACATGGTAAGCTACAGTTTTGGAATGGAACAGCATTTGTACACATGGCACCCATTATATAGCCAACTTAAACAGATGACAGAGAGTATATTCTGAGATGATGCCAAACACATAACTTACTAGAGGACATGGTTGTGTGAACAGAAATGAAGTTTACTGAGAACTCATTTTGTTCAAGATTTATAAAGTATAAAATATATATAGTTTCTTTTTAACCTTTCTTAAGGGTCATAGACACTTAAAAGAGATATAATTTTTAAAAATTAAATCTGTAATATTTCTGTTTGGCCTTAAAATTCATTAATTCATTCAATCTAGCTCTTGCAATGGCACTAAATCTCTGATTTGGTTGCTGCAGAGCTCCCAGATATTTTGGTATTAATTTCTTGTGTCTATCTTCTTATCTCCCATTCACTCTTCAATTCACTAAAACTTTTTTTCTGTTCATATTGTTTTACTGAAATGGCACTCACTTGGTCCTTTTCTCAGACCATATTATATTTGAACTGGAAATAACTATTAGAGAGGAAATTAGGTATATTGGATATGCACCATTTTTGTTGACCAAACTGAATACTAAAAAAGGAGGGAAAAAATGAAGATATCAAAATGTAATATAATCCATAGAACTTTCTATTCTACAAAATTCTTTTCCATGCTTCTTGGTAAGAAAGATCAGGCTCAAACCCCAGTATGCAACAAAACTTAGGCAGGAGGAAATTTACAATGTTTTGCAATTATATGAAGCATCATCCCCCTTGACCTAACAAAACGCTAAGACACTTTCTGATGAATCAAAAGGAGATGGCAGTAGTTGAACAATGGAGGGGGTAAGGCTGTGTCTAGAGAGAGCATAGAATAAATTGTTTACTCTAGGGAGCTTTATAGGATGTAGTTGGCGTAAGTTTTATATGTGAATGATTTTTTACTTTTATAATGAACAAGCCGTAAGCAAAAGACCTAATAAAACACATTTTTTCTTTTGCTTTCCATTATTTCCTTAAATGTTTCCAATGGTGGAAACATCCCCCCACCATTCAATTGAAATTTCTAGGATTTTCTGCTTATTCTTAGATAATAAACATATCTAAAGACAGTTTAAAAACAAGCACTGTCTGAATTCAGAAATTAGAGTGGTGGTTCCTATATAATAATTGAAATTCTGCATGTAACTTAAAGTTACATCTTTTCCCTTCTCTCAGCCAGTGCTGAGTTTAAGTACCAGCTTGCTTCAGATCTTTCCAGATTTGAATGCAGCATGAAAGGGTGAAAGAAAAAAATAATAAGAAAATTCTTACTTGAACTTGTCTTTGGTGGGCTAGATTTAAGTTCCTGGTATTGAGAGATATTTAGGGCTACCCTCTCATGGGTGCTTTTGTGGGTACTTGGAAGAGTCCCATCACTGGAACCTCTTACCTTGGGTTTCCAAGTGGATAGATCTTTATTTGAGTGGTAGATTTACACTCTCTGACTTTGCTACATCCAGAAATCTGGGGTGCACCTCGATCTATCCTTGTGAATGAGGCCCCTTCATCCCTTTCCATACCCCTGTTGGGCTGAATCCAAAGTGAGCTCTTCCTCAGATACTGCCTACCGCCAGGCCATGGGGAGCCCTCATGTAGACTTTACCTGGGCAAATATGAGAGGATAGGCCAATCCCCAAACAGTAGAAACTCTCCTCTATTACCACCAAAGCTGTTGATGAGCCAATCTCTTGGCTGCTTGATTTCTCTGGATAGGGTCAGACTACAGTCACTATACCTCACCACTGCAGAGGTGAGACAGTAAGTTCTCTCAGTAGGCTTCTTGGTGGTCCCTGCACATCCAGATGAGTGTGAGGAAAGGGAACAGGCCCACCCTAATCCCTGCCCATCATGGATGGAGGACCTGAGAGGTACAGGAATTTTGTGGTCATTTCCTTTAAAAATCTGAATTTGGATCTGACACCTTACTTTGGTATGAAGCATCTCTGTCATCTTCATGTGTCAGCTGTAACTTGTCATTGAATGTCCTAAGATATTTTCTTTTTGAAAAATATGAAATTTGGGGCTAGAATTGAATTTGACTAAAATGTGAACACATTATGTTCTATTCTTTCTTGCTTCTCTACATGATCCAAAACTCTTGTCATTTCTTTTCTTAGTTGATTAATAATTTAGTTATGGGGAGCTGGAGAAGGTATTAATAGAATTTTTCACTTTACAACTTTTCTATTATAATAAGTAATATTTATTTGAGAATGATATTTTCCACCTATTTTATTCTTTTTTCTCTTCTGATATATAAAGGAAATAATAATAATCCTTCAAATAAACCTCTGAGGGCTGATGTTGGACCGTGAGAAATGCTACCTTGTGTGCCATTCATTTCAAATTTGGACTTCTCTTTGCCTACTGTGTAAATTGTCTCTCTAGCAGTTAGGAATGATTGCATCTCTTCATTAAGGAAATCATTTCTCACATGAAATGTCATCTTAGGAAAAAATGGTAATATTATCAATCTTGCCATGTAAGATTTCTGACAGAAAATTCTCTCAGAGATGAAAAGTAGTTTCTTTTTTTCAAAGGAAAATGGTGTCTTACTAGGTGAGGAACACTATTTTTGTTAAAAGAAGACGAGATCTATGGATGTATAAAATTGCTTATAGTTCACAGAGGAGTGAAACCATTAACTACATCAATTTCATATTACTTCCTTCTAAGATTTTAAAATGTTTCAACAAGGAAGCAAACAAAGATCACTTATAAAACATAACTATGAGGCTAGATATAAAAGGCTATAGCAGACTTAGATGGAACATAAAATTGAGTAGTCTTGACCCATTTTATTTATCTAGGCACATAGAAATTACCACTGAGTCAAAGCTATTATCCATCCCACCCTGATTTTACTAAACAAAGTAGCCCAAGTTTATGAAAACCACTATGCTACTGCTTGTCATAACATCTGAGAATTTCAAGTGGAATTGTTGCGTTGTTGGAACCAGAAAGTTGAGTTCTTTGAGTTATTTTGCCCCGTCATATTTGGTATTCTTAAATACACTCAACCTCATTTCATGTCTCTTTAAATAGGGCTGTGATTGGGGTCACTGCCTTCTTTCTCATGGTATGTTTGGTGAAGATCATGACTGTGGTAATTTGCTACTTTGTCAATTCAGCAGGAACTATGGTTACCAGAATTTCCTTCCCTTTAGTAGTTTCTGTTTAGAGTTGGCCATTAGAGAAATCTGCATGAGGTTTAGAAGGAAGAAGCAGCAGCCATTGTGCTCGAAGGGTTGCTGCAGGGCCCCAGGCTTTGCTCAACACACTTAACACATGCTTGCCTATGTGTGCATGGGCATGAGTGTGTGTGTGTGTGTTGAATAGGGGGCAGTGTGTTCCTGTTGTTTTGTCTCAACCTGTTCACATGGAGCAGCACCCAAGCCCAAAGCTTCTCTTGTTCTCATGAGATCTCTTCATCTTTTCCAATTTCTGGGCCAGTAGCAAGGTGGTCAAAGACACCAAGCAAGGTGGCCTTGGTGTTTGAAATAATCAGTGGCCAGCATAGGTTCCAGTTTGTCCTTGTGGAAGAAAAATGTGTCTGTGCTTTACCCACCTGTCTTTCCAACTTCTATTACTGAGTCTCTGACTTGCTGACTTACAGTGACTTCAGGCTCACTGGCACACAGAGGCAACAGCTTTCCACAGCTGCCTTTATGGTCCCTTGTTATACACTTTTCTCCAGTCCTCCAACTATTCATATTCAGACCTTTATTCCTCAGCTTCTGTCACTGTTGCCTTAGTTCTCAAATCCATATTAATCCCTTATTCATAATGTTCTGTTTCCTTGATTGAACCATATCTGATATGATGCCTATTTATAAAAAGGATTACAAGAGTTACCCTTAGTTGTACCTCAGCGGAAGAGCTCCAGAAACCCAAGGTAAAAGACATCCCTTGGACATGCAAAGAAGGAGAAGTTACGTGTTTAGCCTGGTAGGAGAGACTAAGAAAGTACAGAATAGCCTATGCCAAGAAATACCAAAGATCTTAAATGTAGCAAGGAATTTAAAAGGGAATCTGGATATCTTTTCAAGTCTACCCTGTATATGTATTTATATTCTCATGGAAGTAAAATTAACAAGATAACTAACTCTCAAAATGTGTCCCTTTTTAACATATATTTAAAACTCTGTAATAGCAATTCAGTTTCTGCTCTCTTCTCTCTGCTTTCATATAATCATAAACACAAAAGAAAGGAAAAAGAGAAAGAAAATCCAGAGGGTAAGATGTTCCAGAGTTAACTTTTCAAATTCTCTAAAGAATTTGATGAAACTTGTGCGTGCTCCCAACCCAAAGTCCATGTGAATATATAGACAAAAATTTTTCATTCTATTTAAGGGCAATTAAGGACCCTACAAAGCCTGTCCATGTAAGCATGGGGAGTTTATAGACTCCATTTCCCACCACTTCCATAGCATCATTTTCCCCCAGTTATCCCCATCTTAGTTATTAGAATCATCATAACTAACTTGATGAAGCCAAAAACCTCAGAAGTTAACCTTTTTTAAAAAAATTTTTTTATTGGAGTATAGTTGATTTATAGTGTTAGTTTTGGGTATGCAGCAAAGTAATTCAGTTATACATATACATACATATATACTTTTTCTTTTCAGATTCTTTTCAATTATATGTTGTTACAAGAAATTGAATGTACTTCCCTGTGTTATATAG